TACAATCAAACGGCACGCAGGCCGTGGAAAGAATACATAAAGCTTAAGAAGGGGGCAGTTCAGTATTAGCAGTTGCCGCCTGGTCAGCACTCTTCTTGCTGGACTCGGCTTCAGCTGCACCCTCTTTTGATGCCTTACCCCCAAGTGGCACAAGCGCCACAACCGGCTCATCCTCAACCAAGGCTTCCTCCAACGCCTCGTCCTCAGCAGCCGCCAGGATCTCTCGATTATATATTTCAGAACACTGACGGTACGTTTTTTCCCACGAGGCAAAGTCGGCACTGGGGAAGAGGCGGCTCCAGGTCATGCGCTGGATCTGGGAAGAGTCTTCAATCATCTCTCGGACGAGCTCTCTCTTCTCTTGCTCAGCCTTCTCCGTGAGCTCTCTCTTCTCTTGCTCAGCCTTCTCCGAGAGCTCCTTGGTTAGACTCCTCTCCTGGGTCACCAGGCGTTCTTTTACGTTAGCCAAGGATTTTTCCATGGCATCGTATGAGAGTATCTTTTGGCGGAGAGGTTTAAGCTCGGCCTTGAGGTTGGAGACGGTCGCCTCCAGCTCGCTGTTCCGCTTCTGGGCCGCCTCTAACTGGGCCCGGATAGCAGCGGTAGCCTGCGCCTGATAATAAAGAATATCAATTGTCAGAACTTCATTTTGGGCAATTTGAAACATTGCCTTGTCACAGTTAGAGGCGGCCATAGCTTTTGCAGCCTTTACCTCTTTGTTTTTCCGATCAAGCGGCTTGCGAAGGCCGTTCACTCGGAGCAGGGCCTAAGTAAAAAGGGAACAGACGTCAGTTTCCAAACAAGATAACAGGCGTCCTGGAACTCAAATACAAAAAATGCTAAGTATACCTCAGCAAGGACCCCTGCAATCCCATCAAGGTCAAGGGTGCCGACACCTCTAACCGCCTCCCTATCAGATGGAGGAACTGCTTTGATCATGGACTTGGCTACCTCTACCAAGTCAGGTTCCTGAGGGCCGGCTGCATCAAGCGTAAAAAAGCAAGTTAGACCTAGTCAAGAAGAAAGCAAGTGAAGGTTTTTACAAGTAATTGTCCATACTTCTAGGCGGCCCCGCCGGAGTTTTAGAAGAAGTGGCCGGCTGCTTTTCAGCCGCCACTGTTTTCCTGGAAGACCCAGGAGAGCTTGCAACAGTCGTCCTCCGGGCCTTGGGGTCCGGCTGTTGCGAGGAAGAAGCTCTTGGAGTGCCCGACTGAAAAAAAAAAAAAAAAAAAAAAAAAAAAAAAAAAAGTTAGTATATGCGTAAGACAACAACTCCTAAAAAAGGAAGAGTTTCGAGGCCTACCAAGGGTGCCCCCTTGTTGGGGGAGTCGGTACAGGACTGTTTCATGAGAGAGGCCCTCAACATGGCCGCCGCAGTCTTGGATGCTGTTATTTTACTCATGGCGTCAGCTGCAAAAAATAAACAGCAAAGTTAGTAAAAGTCTCAAGTAAACAAGGCGTGAAAAAACAAAGTATTTGACAGGCCGGCTACCTCTAGAGCACCGACTGCTGAGGCCACAGGCGGCCAAAAAGTACTCATCATAGAGCCATTTGAAGCTCGGGACGCAGTTTAGGGGTACTTGCTCTCGTACCCCTGAAGTAGAGTTCACCCTAGTCTCTACTTTGAAGAGTCCTTTGTCTAGGATCTCTCTTTTAGCCTTTGGGGGAACAGGCGGCATGCTGCGGCCGCCTGCGAGAAGAGGCGGATCCCTATTCCACTTGTTAAAACGTTGGTTCAGCTCCGTGTCTGAACCCTCAATGATAAGGAAGGTGTTCCGCCAATCCTTCCATTTGTTCGCTTTACCTCTCGTCATGAGGTAACCCCTATGGCTTGTTAACTGATACCAGCCGGTACCTCCCGACTTAGGGGTCCGGCTGAGATAGTTCATGTGGGCGAAAGCCTCAAAGCTTGGCTCCACCCCGTACATTTCGCACCCGGCCACATAGCCGAGTACGTTTACCCAAGAGTTGGGGGCTAACTGCCATAACCCCAAATCATACCCATCTAAAATCCGCTGCACAGCCGGATGTAATGGGAAGCGCAGTCCAGCTTTGATGGCCGCCTCATAGCAGCCAAAGCAGCCGTTATCATAGCTGGTACCAGCCGGCCAGACGACAGTGTCCTCTGGATCCGGCACAAACAGTAAAAATCCGGGGCCCATTCTGTGGTTAGCTATAAAGCTCTCCACTTTGTCTTTCATGGCCGCAAGCCGGCCCCGGGGTACAGTGCAGTAATAGGGGGTGTTTTCCTCTCTGTGAGAGGCGGACGGCTCCGCCCAATTGTCCCCTTTCTCAACTGCATGAGAAAGCCTCGCCTCTTGTAGGCGACTGTTTCTTTCTTCTGAGCCTGGAGAAATGTGGCCAGAAGAGCTGGACTCGGACTCATCCTCTGACGAGTCCGAAGAGGACGACTCCTCCCCTCTCCCAGAGGGGCCCGCCTCCTCTCCCTTAGAAGGAGCGGGAGGAAAGTTAGACATATCAACGGTAAAATGGGAAGGGACCACCTTGCCCCCTCCCTCAGAACTGTCGGCTTGGCAGCCGCCTCGTTTCAATTCTACATCTGGCGCCTGGTCAGATGTTTCACTAAGGAGCACCCTTTGGGAGGAGCCGTCTGAGTTTGATATCATGGCAGTCTTTTTGGTTCTGGCCATCACGTTCTGCATAGACACAGATACAGTCGGACTTTGTATAAAGGGCAAAGATGGGTCCAGAAAAGGGCAGGCGGCACTCCTAGTCCTAGATTCAGCCGTCCCCGGTGACCGGCTGATCACTAACTTAGGTCGTGTCGTGTGCTTCCGTGGTGCCATTTTAAAAAAATAAAAAGAAAATTAAGAGTAAGGGAACTGAGTTACCTGAACGAGTGACGGTTGATGAAGTTCTGGAAATCCGGGTCAGTCGGCTTGTCAGAACAGGCGGTAGGCAGAAAATGTCCGAAATGTCAGAGCAAGTTCAGGGGTCCGAATGTTCTCGCAAAGTTCTCAAATGTGAAAATGACCAAAGTCAGCACTTCCTTATATAGGCAAAGTGAGAAGGCGAAGGGTCGCTTCCAAATTCAAAATGTGGGCGGGAAAATCTCTCGGCCATTTGCAAGGTGACACCTGCAGCAGGCCGTCGCCTGTCACCATGCGACACCTGTCACAGGCGACACGTGATCAGTCACGTGCCACCTGTGAGGGGCAAATGATTAGGGGATTTTTATCCTCCAATCACCTTCTGACAAGTGGGCCAACCAGGTTCCGCCACGTGTCCTTCACGTAGGCCAATAGGAGCCTGCCACGTGTCAATCACAGATACGTCCTCTGCGGACCAATTAAGGCACGCCACGTGTCCACCCATGCCAAATGGGAAAACCGGCCACCAAGGCCCAATCCTGTTTAGAGGCCCGGTCAGCCCTAGGTTTACCCTAAACCTAGAGAGTGGCACGCTTCTCAAGACTATAAATACTCTTCTTAATCCTCATTAAGGAGAGAGAGAAAAAAGAGAGAGAACTCTAATAACACACGGATTATACATTAAACACTCTCACCTAGAGAGACAAAACCACTTTAATTTACGCACTCATTACTCCTTAATCAGGTACTAACTTGACCGTTGGAGGCGGAGCTCTCAGGAGTCTCCGTTATTTTGCAGGTACAGACGGCCGGTTCCAGTCTCGGTGTTGTAACTCTCCCGCAGGACATCAGGAAACCCCGAAACACTATGGGTCGTTCAGAGTTGGCACCCGAATCTCGAGGAAAACGCTGGTATCTTCTCCCATCTTGCTTTACCTTGTCTAAAAAGGAAAAAACTAGCTTCTGTGAGTCATTGCATGGTTTAAAGGTCCCAGCTGGATTTTCTTCTAATTTTCGTAGACTTGTGTCAATGTCTGACTTGAAATTGGGTGGCATGAAATCTCATGATTGTCAAGTCTTGATGCAACAATTATTACCAGTTTCCATTCGAGGAATTTTGCCACCTCAAGTGAGGTATACGATTACAAGATTATGTGTCTTTTTTAACACTATCTGTAGCAAGGTCATAAATCCAAGTATTTTAGATGACTTGCAAGCAGATGTACTTGAGACAATGTGTCGATTTGAAATGTATTTTCCCCCATCTTTTTTTGACGTGATGCCTCATTTGGTTATTCATCTTGTACGTGAAATTAAACTTTGTGGGCCAGTGTGTATGAGATACATGTATCCTTTTGAACGAGAAATGGGTGACTTAAAGGGAAAAGTCATGAATCCGGCCAAACCTGAAGCTAGTATTGTACAACGAACAGTTGTTGAGGAAGTGGCAGCATGGGTTGCTCAATATCTTGCACGTTCACAGAAAATTGGTTTGCCAAAGTCTCGACACGATGGGAGGCTTGGAGGTCAAGGTACTATTGGCAGGAAAAGGATATCCATGGGCTTTGAAATGAAAAATAAGGTCGAGCTTTTTGTGTTGCAAAATCTTAGTGAGGTTCATCCTTACTTGGACGAGCACATGCTTTTTCTTAAAAATAAATATCCTTCCAAAAGTGATCTTCAGCTGATAAAGGAGCATAATTTTTCATTCGTTACATGGTTCAAGGAACGAGTGACGTCCCAACTATCCACCACACCTAACGATATATCTGACACATTGAGATGGTTGGCATATGGTGCTAAATGTCAAGTCATGTCATATGAGGGATACGACATCCATGGGTATTCTTTTTACACTAGACGACAAGATGACAAGTCAACAATGCAAAACAGTGGTGTTAAAGTAATAGGTTTTTCATCTGAGTATGTTAGTTCACATGATAAAACACTTGTGGATAAGAAGAAATTTTATTATGGAATCATTGAAGAAATAATAGAGCTGGATTATGTTGAATTCAAGATTCCTCTATTTCGATGTAAGTGGGCTGATAGTAGCCGTGGTGTAAAAAAAGATGAACAAGGGAACTTGACCCTTGTAAATCTTGGCCGACGAGGGCATCTAGCTGATCCATTTATATTAGCTTCACAAGCAAAACAAGTTTTTTACATGGCTGACCCAGCTGGTTGTAAGTGGTCAGTTGTTTTAGAAGGTAAAAGAAGGATACTTGGCATTGAAGATGTGGTGGACGAGGAAGAATATGATGAGCAATTTAATGAGTCACCACCTTCCGTTTGGAGCATCCCTCCAATAGTCGATGATTTTGACACAACGTTGAAACGAAAAGATCATAATGAAGGATTTTATGTCGCAAACGAGAAGAATGAAGTAGGTATGAATTTTGTGATTTTTTTTTCCAATATGTGTTACTAATTGCATAAATTGCTTATTATTGTTATGTGTACAAGTTTATAATTTAAAAATGATACAAATCGATGTCTTAATTTATTTATGTCTTTTTTTTCAGGTAAGTAATAATGGAGGATGAGGATATGCATAATCGTTCCATGTCTTCGCAAGGTGAGAAAGATGAGCCACACAATCAATCACAATCAGAGCAACAAACAACCAACTCTCAAAAGAAGAAAAAGAAGCCAAGAGGTCCTTCAAAGGGCCTAAAATCCATGCCTAGGGTTCCTAGAGTGCTTGAATGGGATGAATTGTGTCGACCCATTGGAAAGTGGGCAAAAGCATACAAAACTCATCTTGGTGAAATAAGCCGTGCAAAGGTGTCTATATTGTATAAAGATTGGAATCAAGTTCCACAAGGAATAAAAGACACTTTGTGGGAAGATGTTAAGGTAATATTCACTATTAAATGTTAAATGTTATACTATTATATGATCATTTTTACATTATTTGAATATGATGAAAACAATTTATTTAAATATGATGAAATTATTTACTAATTTTTTTTATTTTTTTAATTTTTTAATTTTTTTGTAGAGAGAGTTTCAAATCGAAGAAGATGAAGACAAGAAAAAAAAGGTCCTACGCACTTGCGATAAAACTTGGAGAGATTTTAAAACAAAATTCGTCAGTGGTTGGATCACATGTACCAGGAATATGCCGAAGGAGAAAAGAATGTCGTATGTACTCTATGATTTCATATATGAGGATATGTGGAAAACAATTGTGCAGGAGCATAGTACAGATGATTTTAAGGTTTGTGTGTATTAATATCAATGATCATGCAGGTTATTAATACTTTGTTAACGGATTCTTATGTACTAATCTTCATTTATGCTCGTGAAAATAGGAAATCAGTGAGAAGGCAAGACAAAGCCAGTCTTTCAACGAATACCCTCACCATTTAGGAGCCAAATCATATGGTGAAATGAATATTGTATGGCGTAGAAAAGGGTATATTCCCACAGCATCTTCAGCATCCAGTACTTCATCTTGTTCTTCGGTTGTGTCTAGTTTGCCGGATAGGACATATGCTTGGCTTCTAGCAAGATCAATAGAAGATGATAAGGGAAATCCTTATTTGTCGGATGAGAAAACAAGAGAGGTGAAAGAATCCATTGTAAGTATATAATAAGTCTTTTATTTCAATTTTGAATATATTTTGTTAAGTTTATGTATTGCTACCAAAGTTTTCTAACTTGAAGTCTTTGTGTAGGATAATTAGAGAAAGCAACAAGCTGATGGAAAATTTGTTCCTAATAGGAATGATGATATCTTATCTCGTGCCCTTGGGAAAAAAAAGATCGTAATGGTCGGGCAATAGCATTTGGCAGTGGAATTGGCATTAAAGCTGTATGGGGATCCGGAGAGAGGCGTAGTGGCCGACGAGGTAGGGAATTCGGAGATGCTGAGCTGGAAGAATTAGAGGCAAGAGTATCCCGGAGGGTACGAGAGGAGACTATACAGGAGATGGATTCTAAAATGGATTCCATGGTTCGAGAGAAGTTTATGTTATTTGCTAAACAGATTGGTATTCAAATTCCAACTGAATTGATGGAAATGAATAACATAGGCCGGACGACTCAACAAAATCCTAGTAGTTGCCAATCAGTGGGTGATGATCTATTTGCAAACATACAGGTATCCAAAACTTTGTTATTTTATATTTTTTATCTTTTTTTTAATGATTTATGAATGCGACATACTTTTAACTTTGTAACTCAGTTTTCTATTTTTTTTAATAATGATTTTTTTTCTATCTTTGTAAGGAACCGGTTCCATGTCGGCTATCATTGTTGAAAAATGACTCCGAGAAAGTCATTGTCGCTGAAGGTACATATATCATCCGGAGTTAATCCTTGATCATCATAGTAACCTCCTTCCGGATCACATGAGGATAATTGTTGATGATTTTTTTGACGAGTTCAAAGAATTCTCGGTTCCAGTTTCTTCTTCAGTCATCAAGAAACTTAAGCATGCTCATCACGGTACATTTACCCAATGGCCGAAAGACTTGGTTTCACTCATGCATGACAAGGTAAATTATTTTTGTAACAATTTACATATAGTTTGCCATACAAAATATAGAAAATTGTTGAATAGATTTTCGTTACTATTGATTAGGAATTCATATCAAATAAGAACGATGATAAAAACAAAGCGGCCAAAGAAAACATGCAAGACAAACTCAAAGTAGTTGAAAGTGGTCATGAAACAAAAGAGTCCAACACCAATCCAAAAAAAGTTTTTCTTATGGATTATGCTTTGGAAAACTTGTCTCAGAAGTGTGGGTCTTTGAATAGTTTGTTATCTTCATTACCCGAAGGTGAAACTATTAAGGTAAAGGTTGATGCTTGGACCTTTAGTTATGAAGATAGTAAGGACATCATTATCAAACGTGAAGATGTCAATCAACTTCTCACGGGAGCTTGGCTGAATATTTCAGTTTTGCAAGTTTTTATGATGTAAGATATTCAAATTTCACTCTTCCCATATATACTTATTTATTACCATTTATAATGTTATTACATGATATATATGTAGGGCCTTGAGTGACTTACTCGATACGGTGGAGGTGGCTTCCATTGGATTCATGTGTCCGGAAATGATTTCAGAAACCTATTTGCATAATGATGCAGATCGTATCCTACTATACATGACACATGTGATGGAAAAACAAAAATCTAAGCATTTCATCTTATGCCCATACCATGAAAAGTATAAACTTTGAATTTGTATTTATTTGAACTTTGCAAATTGTTGATATTATTTTACTCTTTTACAAATGTGTGTCTAATTTATTATGTAGGAATCATTGGGTTCTTTTGGTCTTATGCATGGCTAAGCGTGAAGTCATCATCTTTGATTCTTTGAGGCAGAAGCGAAATTTAGCAATTAAGTTTGCAATGACAAAGTAAGTCTAGTTTGTTATTAATGTCATGATTTTATGTGTGCAAGGATAATATATATATTATTTGTTTCAAATGTGTAGTGCTTTTCGAAGTTTCAAGGCATTAAGTGGACAATCTAGGGGAAGTAAATTGACATGGCATTTGGGACAGTTTACCTTAATTTCTTACCCTAACTTTTAGTTTCTTAATAATTTAAGTATAGCAATTTAATTCAACTTATAAATATATTACATGTAGTGTCCTCAACAATTGGGTGGACGTGAGTGTGGCTACTACGTCATGCGTTATATGTACGAAATACTTGAACATCACCATAGCAGTGAGGATCTTATTCAGGTATGAGTTGTCAAATATTTCATTTTTGTTTGATAAATACAATTTGATGTTAGCTACAATCTTGAATTAAAACTTTCCTCTTGTATATTTGTTGTGTTGATAGGATTTTTCAAGAACTACACCGTACACCGAGGAGGAGATAGATGAGATTCGAGATATTTGGGCAGGGTATTTTATATGTAGTGTTGAACTTTAGATTTACACTTAGCGCATGTTTGACTCTTTGTTTTGGATTATAGGCTTGTCATGAATGATTTTGGTTAATTGGTGTTGGGATGATGAGTATAATGTCTATGATATTGAGATGTAAATTATTTGACAGGTTGTTAATATAATGCAGTCATTCCCAATTTTATGGGTAGGCCAAATTACAAAGGAGACTCTGCCGAAATTTACATTTGCATTATTCAATAATATTGCATTTTAATTTCAATTATATTAACGTTAGCATATTACTTTATACCACTAGCAAGGAAAACAGGTACTACAAACATATACAAGGCAATTATTATAATTAAAAAATAATAATTCACCTCATTTGCGTCACTCATTAAACAAACAAGTGACGCAAATAAAGCAATTTTGTATTGTCTAGTCAGTCATTTGCGTCACTCCTATATAAACAAGTGACGCAAATAACAAACAAGAAGTTTATCAGAAGAGTTATTTGCGTCGATCCTTTATAAAAGAGTGACGCAAATGACTCTTATTTGCGTCACTTCTTTATAAAGGAGCGACGCAAATGACTCTTATTTGCGTCGCGCCTAGGAGCGATGCAAATGACTTTTAAATCATTTGCGTCGCGAGCGGTTGTGTCGCTCATAGAAGCGACTCAAATACACTATAAATGAGCGACGCAAATGAGCCTTTTTCTACTAGTGGGGTGTGCATAAATGGACCTGGCTCGGAAAACCGACCGGGACCGGACCGGAATTGGCTCGGACCGGTTGATTCCGGTCCGGTCTTCGATCCTCACAAATTGGGGATTCCGGGTTTTCGGTCTGGGTAAAAACCGGAATGGACCGGAATGTGTGTTTTTATAATTTTTTGGGTGAAAATTTTAAATTTTTAAAAAATTTAGGTACGAAACTTGTAATTTATAAATTCTAGGTGTAAAATAGGAAAACACGCAAACAAAAACAAGACGTTAAAAATGTATGTATATATTAAGATACTAAAATGAAAAAGAAAAATAAAAAAATAAAGTAATCGGTCCATTCTGGTCCAAAATCGGACCGGACCGGAATAATTAGGACTGGACCGGAACCCAGACCGGTTGATTACGGTCCGGTCCCGGTCCCCAAAAAAATTCGATTCCGGGTTCCGTTCCATTTCGGTCCCGGTCCGGTCCGATTTTGGACCGGTGCATAGCCCTAGTCAAGGGTTACTCAAGTTGTCGAGGTTACTCGAGTTACTCGGTCAGGAGTAACTTGAGTTAACCTTAACGGAGTAATTCATGACCGAGCCCCTGATCAAGTAACCCCTCGAGTAATATATGATCGAGCCCCTGATCGAGTAACCCCTCAAGTAATCTATGACCGGGCCCCAATGTGAGTAACCCTTGACTGAATCCTCAAGCAACCCTTAACCGATTAACCCCATACTGAACTCCTTAAGTAACCCTTGACCGAATTACTCGAGTAACCCCTAACCGAATTCCTTAAATAACCCCTAACCGAGTAATTTGAGTAATCTGACCGAGTAACTCGAGTAACCCATGATCGAGTAATCCCTAATTTAACCGAGTTACTGGAGTAACCTTTAACCGAGTAACTCAGTAACCCCTCAAGTAACCCTTGACCGAGTGAACCCCTCATGTAACCCCTATCCGAAACCGTGACTGAGTAACTCGAGTAACCCATGACTGAATAACTCGAGCGAGTAACCCCTAACAAAAATAACTCGGGTAACCTTTGCCGCACTGTTTGGCCTGATCTGCTGCACCAAAAAGTTAGTGTATGTCATTCACATTTCATTGTTTTATCCCCTTTTATTATTTAATTAATAATCTATTATAAACATTCTAATAAATTCACTACAAGAAAATAACCTTTTCGTAGCGATTATTTTAACCTTTAGTATCGATTGTAATTGCAACAAAAAGCTTTCCCAACGAATGGTCATTCGATACAATATCCCTCGTTGCCTTAGCCTTTAGTAGTGGTTTTCAATATCGCTGGGGTTGACCTCAATAATAGATATGAAAAACTACATCCAATCGTGGTGATTATTGTAGCGATTACAATCGCTATAAATGTTTAACTCATTTTCTTCAAAAAAAAAAAACATGCGTATGATCTTTACAAGATTCGAACATGCAACCTCAAACTCTTATATTAAATGTTTCACCAATAAGTTATGACATATTTTATGTATTTTTTGTCAAACAATATTTATATATCTAGTGTTGAAAAGGTTTTTCGTATCGATTTTTAGGATTTATTGGCGATTGTAAATGATACGATTTCTCAAAACTATATAAATGTGTAAAAATAGTGTTGATATGTATTATTATGTTTTCCGTATCGATTTTATATTGGAAAACCATGACGATTGTAAAAATGATACGACATCCTTAATTATTTCACAAACATACTTGCATATTGTAGCGAATGTACAATCGCTACGAAATAATCGCTACGAAAAGAGATTTTTCTTGTAGTGATTGTTTTCTTAATAGATAGGTATAGGTTTTGATTTAACTGGGGTGGCCTTCGCGCGTGATGCTTGCGAAGGGGCCAACTCTTGTAGCGAATGAAGTTGTATTGGTGTGTATTTACTCCTTTTATTTGGGTGGTAGACCTTGTAGTTTTAATATGTACTATTTGATTTATGTGACTATGTGCAGTGGTAGCTTTGTAGAATTATAAGAAAGTCACCAAAATCTTTTATGACAATTATTTTTTTAAACCCTCAAAAGTTTAACCGTGTTATTTCAAAATCATTATTAAACGTAACAGTTAATTAATTTGCATCCCATCATATATTAAGTGATTGTTATTTTAGAACTTTTAATTGATTTATGTGGAAGAAAGGGTGAATTAATATTGATATCACTTGATTTTAAGATTTTTAAGTTCTAAAAAAAAAAAGCATCACAAGTTTTTTGTTAAAAAAAACTTTGAATTATTGATGATATGTTGAATGATTAAAAAAAAATTGAATATATTAATGAGAGTAAGCATATTAGAGAGTAAGCATATTAATGAGGGTAAAAAAGTAAATAATACACATTTTTGTACATATTTTTAAGGGTATACTTGTTAGCTATTCCTAAGAGTTATTATTTTATATGAGTTATTATATTATATTAACTTGATTCTTAAGTAATTGACACAATCAAAGATGACATACTCGTTAGCAAGGGTGAAGCTACATGGAGCGCGGGGGGGGGGGGGGGGGGGGGGGGGGGGGGTTGAGGCCCGACTCCCATGGACCAATTTCGTGGCATATTATCTTAACTGCTGGCCCCTATAAGTTTTTCAAATAAATATTATTTCCATTTCATATTTTTTGCAATGATTTGACATAAATTAAAGTAGAGAAAAAAAATGTAATCTTTGCAAATAATATGAAACAGATGTACGCCCTCCGTGTTTTTAATAAATGTTACAGTTTGACCAAATACACATGCTGAGTCACATGTTTGACCATTAATTTATGTAATTATATATTAGTAAATCATAGAAAAGTTGGTATTATGAAAGTATATATTACAATGAATCTAATATTTAAATTATTTTTACTGAACTTAAATTAATTTTACTGAATTGAAATTATTTTTGCTGAACTGAAATTATTTTTACTGATTTTCTATTATAATTCTTCTTTAATAAAACTG